TGCAGTGTCTCACAGGTCCCTGTGATCTGTAGTCTGTTCTGAAAGCTTAAAATCCATTGAATAACATATGTTGGTTAATATATTGATTAGAACACAGTTTAAAACATACTTAATAATGTAATTTTCATGACATTTCCCTCCTGACTAAACTTTCTAGAATCACTTTATTAACAACATAATTCCTAATCTTGTTCCTCCCAGGATCTTCATTGTTTAAACTCTCCCTTTCAGGTTTTCATTAAAACAAGTCATATGTGGTTCACTCAGATTAGAATTAGGTCAGTCTCGTTTCAAACCCAATCGTCCGGTTCGTAGTGGTCGTCTTCTCCTTTCTCCTCGTCTCGGATCTGTTGATACATAGTCTTAGTTAGAGCAGTGTCTATCAGTCCCACCATCAGTCCTCACAGGCAGGGAATGCAGCAGCAGCCACACACAGCCAGCAGGGCTGCAGCGACGGACAGAGAGATCAGCCCAGAAGCGATCAGACCACTCCACTTTCCGAACCAGGATTCCAGGAGATTGGCGAAGGGGTTGTTGATGCCAGAGTTCACAGCCAGCTCCTCGTATAGGGCCGTCAGTCCTTCAAGGGCCTTGGTGATGCTGCCATCTGGGGAAGTGTTGTTAGGTATAAAAGTACAACAAAACATGCCAAACATTTTGCATACTCCTCCTTTCTCAGCTAACAACATATCTAGGGCCATCCTATTTTGCCATGAAGTGAGAGAAGTGGGGCCCAGTTGTTCTGCTATGCCTCTAATTGCATCTTTGGTATGATTCACAAAACGCTACTGATTATAGTATAAGTAATTAATCCAATCTACATTCTTATTTACTGTGACCCACCAGGAAAGAAAAGATTCGAACCCTGCAGCTATTTGATTTCTAGCTTTAAATTCATCAGGTACTCCTCGGGGTACGCCAATTGCATCCAAGTACACTCTGTTGTCGAACGATCCTCTGGGCCTGCCTGTAGACCTGGTTTCACAATGTAGATGGGATGCAGACAACAGCTTCTCCCCCAGCTCCCTGTATTCCCTCAAGAATATGTGAAAAGGCATCAGCAGCTCCACCAGGGCACAGCTACCACTCCACAGTGAGGGGAGTCTGGGTCTCAACTCAACTGGCCGTCTCCGCAGAGCCACCATATGTCTGCCCTTGAAACGGTTTGGTTCACAAACCAGGTGGCAGAATAGTCACCATTGTCACTGGTGATGTCGACAGTCTCCTCACACCAGGCAAGCGGCAGGCGGTGGACATTCTTGCCGGTACCAGAGCGCACAAAACATGTGTAATTACCAGGATAAATGTTCACCGAGGGAGGGACGTCTCCTTTATTTACTGGTGGATACAGCAAAAAAAGAGATTTACATTGTTCAGTGGTTGGAGAAAAAGCCTTATCAAGCAACTGTAGTATGCACTGTACTCCAGTAGAGTCTGCTATTTCATTCAATCGGAGAGGAGCGGTTCCTACTTGTGGTCTGGCAGTTGAGCACACAATACAATTACTGACATTACTTTGCTGTGCAGTGAAAGTCATCCATTCAAGCCATTCATTTTTATCAGTATATCCTGTTTCTAAGGCCATCACATCCCGTATAGTCAGGTTTTCCAGGTAATTCACTCCCTTATCCACTGGTGGTGCCTCAGTGCCATGGTCTATATTTAAAGGAGGAGGGTTTTTACCTGCTTCAGTAACTTTTATACGGAAGGCCCCTATGGGGTCACTTCCTCTCACATCCACTCCTATGGGATACGGCCATTATCAGATATCAAAGTTATGAGAAGAGGATTACAGTCATTAGATGTACAGTCCTGAGGATCACTATAGCCCTTAACTATGGTTAGACGATTTTTCTGTGGAGAAGTGGGATAGTACCCCCAGTCAAGGGGTCCGGTGTTAGCCACTACAAAGTTCCATGTGGGACAGCGTAGGATATTACTCCTAACCCTCCCCACAGGCCTATAAAGATTGCGGTCCTCAGCCTTAGCACAGATATACTTGTCCTCCCTAATGTACTGTTTTGGGTCTCCATCACATTGCATAAGGTTACATAGGTCAACTTGTGCCACTATTGTATCACCCTCTCTGCCCTCTATCACGGGCACAGGGTCATGAATTGCAAAGTATCTTTTATTTCTCGATTTTATCACTACTTGGGGTGCTTCAGCGCAGAGCCAGGAAAGTAATAAAACTACAACTATTCCTAGAGTTGATATAATTAAGATGCCGGTGCGCGTGGTCCTGTTTCTGGTTATACTCTCAGGTCTAACCTTTACAGGTGGGGTTTGTCCAAACAGTCCCCAGCTGATCCTGCTCTATCTGTCCCTGCATTATTTTAGGTCACACCCTATGCTCCTATTGGCCGTTGGTTTCTTCACTGAGTTTGAGATGACTCTTCCTTATTGGAAAAAGCCCCCTTTGTAATCAGACTTATTGCCTTCAGGGAGCGGTGGTGTGTAACTAGCTGTCCTTCACCTATTTTATGAGGATAAAGATTTTACCAGCTTACAGTGAGACAGATGAATCCAGGATGTCCTCTCAGCTATCTTGACTGCTGTTGGTGTAGTGAGCAGTACCTGGTATGGACCTTCCCACCCTGGACTGGACCGGTTCTTTCTTTTAATCACCTTCAGTAGCACCCAGTCTCCAGGTTTCACAGTTTCAATCTGCGGTTCCACTGGTTCCCCTGGAACAGAATTAACACAAACAATCTCCTTGTATGTTAGCATTTTTTCCATATAATCTGCCAGTGTTTGTTCAGCCTCCTCATCTGAACGCTGGAAAGGTTTCAGCTGTGGAATGATGTAAGGTCTGCCATACATTAACTCAAAGGGTGTCAACCCACCATGTTTAAGAGTACTAATGGCAGGCAATAAATCCAATTCTTTCCAGTTTCTTCCATGGTTTTCCTTAATTTCGCTTTAAGAATGCCATTGTGTCTTTCCACTAACCCTGCAGATTGAGGATGGTATGCACAATGATGCTTCAGATCTATGTGCAGAGTTTGAGCTAACAATGATATTACACTGTTTACAAAGTGAGTTCCATTGTCACTATATAATTTATCAGGTATTCCATATCTGGGGATTATTTCCTTCATTAGTGCCTTTGCTACCGTGTGAGCATCTGGAGCAGCTGTGGGAAATACTTCAACCCATTTAGTAAACATGTCTATTATAACCAAGCAGAATTTCTTTCCCTCACACTTGTTTAACTCTATAAAGTCCATGCAAATGTGTTGAAAAGGAAATTGTGGTTTTGGAAATTGACCTCTTTTAGTTCTCAGGTTGCCCCTTGCATTGTGGTGAGCACATATTGTACAGGTGGCACAAAAATGTTTAGAATAGTTTGAAAATCCATATGCTGTGAACACTTTCCCTATCATGGCTGTCATCCCTCCTGTTGAGACATGACTTTGTCCATGGCTCAAAATTGCAGCATATCTGAAAAGACTATTTGGTAGGATAGGTTTCCCTTCTGGTCACTCATACAGTTCAGTTTTATCATTAAGGGTTGCCCCCATCTTTTTCCATTTTTGAACTTCAGCTTGTGGTGCTGCTTTCTGCATGTCTTTTAAAACAATGGTCTATTTGAGATGTGTCATCTACTATCAGTAGCTCTGTTTGTGATGCTTTCTTAGCTTCCTCATCAGCTTTATGGTTACCCTGTGATATAGGATCTGTCCCTTTAGTGTGTGCTGCACACTTACAAATTGATAATTTTTTGGGTAACTGTATAGCATCTAAGAGATTTAAGATTAGATCTCTGTGGTTGATTGGCTTCCCTGTGAAAGTCACCATACCTCGATTTTTCCATTGTTGTGCAAAAACATGCACCGTTGAAAACGCATATTGACTATCAGTGTAAATATTAGCTATTTTCCCTTCAGCTAATTTACATGCCTCTGTCAGTGCCACTAACTCTGCTGCCTGGGCAGAGTAGTGTTTTGGGAGGGGCTTTGCTGTCAGTACAGCGTCATGTGTCACCACAGCAAACCCTGTTGCGTTTGTTCCATCTGGGTTTTTCTTACTTGACCCGTCTACAAACATAGTTATGTCTGCATTGTCATAAGGTTCATCAGTTAAATCCAGCCTAGGGAGCACTTTCTCTGCTATTTCTGATAAGCAGTCATGAGGTTTCCCACCTGATGCTGTAGGAATGAAAGTGGCTGGGTTCAATGTTGTGCATCTCTCAATAGTTAAGTGTGGTTGTGATAGCAACACAGTCATGCGTGAGAGATGTCTGGACCCCAGGTATTTAACTGTTGTTTTCCATAACTGCAGTTTGCTTTTGTTTACTTTATGTCCCTGCTCAGCTAGAAAGTGTAGCAGAGCTAATGTGTCTGTTTTGCAGCTTTCCTGATCTTTAGAGGCTATCAATATGTCATCTACGTACAATAGCACCTGCCTGTCACATGGAGGAGTGAATTTTGCTAAATTAGCAGACATGGCCTGAGAGAAAATGGTCGGCGACTCGCAAAAACCCTGCGGAATTCTGCTATAGGTGAAATGTTTCTTTTTATAAGTAAATGCAAACCAAAACCTGCTGTCTTGATGCACAGGGATGGAGAAAAAGGCATTTCTGATGTCACAAACAGAAAAATATTTATTTTCTGGTTTCAAATAATTTAGAAGAGTGTGTGGGTCAGGCACTGTAGGTGCACCGGGAATAATAGCTTTGTTTACTGCTTGCAGGTCCTGCACCATCCTCCAGCCGGTGGATGGTGGAGCTTTTTTAACAGGACATAAGGGAGTGTTACATGGAGAGTCGGGACACTCAACTATTACTCCTGCTTTTAGCAAATCCTCAATTATAGGAGCTATCCCTGCCTCTGCCTCAGGTTTTAAGGGATATTGTCTTTGGTGTGGACGAAATGAGGACTTTGGTGTTATTTTTACAGGTTCTACTCCTTTTATTAGCCCTGCATCTGCAGTTCCTTTTGACCAGAGCGTTTCAGGTATATCGTTTAAAGCTGCTTCTTCCTTTTCAGTTAGAGTTAAAACCTGTCATATTTTCTGTTGTTTTTTTTTTTTGTCTCCCTATAAATGCACAGCAGTTGTAGCTTGAGTCATCTACTGCAGTGTGGATACAAACACTTGTAGAGTCTCATTATACTCTGTGGTCTCATCTGTTCTCTCCCAGTCACAGGCTTCCTCACACATGGTTACAAGTATTCCCACATCTGTCCACTCCATGTGTTTTGGCTTTGCTAGTGAGATGTGGGGTGTCCTTGTGGAGCGATAAAACTTTTTCATGTTTGGTTTTATCTCACAGCTTGCTCCTACCCGTCCTCTTTTGTCCCAATACAGGGTTTTTATTGTTAGCTGGCTTTGTCTTTCCCTCATGAAATGCCGTTCATATTCTGTGTCTGACCCTGACGTGTACTTATAGTACATTGTGCAGTGCAGATCATTTGAATTCATGAAGTCAGAATGTGGCGCAGCCTTTTGTTTAGCTTTCTCTATGAGGGATGTTGTGACAGACGCAGGTCCGGTGGTAACCAGATCTAAGCTGTACCAGTAATGTAGTTCCCCGTAGCCCTCCATTAATGCTATTTCTTGTAGCCTCTGTGCTCTGAGCCCATCTTCACAAGGGATGACGGCTATGTTTAGTGCTGTCAGTAGGTCTCTCCCCAGAAGACGTCATGGACAGACATGAGATAACACCACTTGACATTTACAGTAAAGGCTTTATTCTATTATAAAGCCACGTCCGGTTCTTTCAAACCAGGAACTCAGTGAGACGAAGCGGACCACTTGAGTATATAAAAAAATATAACCGTGCTGGTTTATTCAAAGGGTCACAGGCAAGAATTAACATCACACGTCCAGGCATCTTCCACCCCCAAAACTGCGCGCAAGCAGCCTGGAAGAAGAAAGACCCTGAACCCAAGATCTCTATACAATTTAATCACATGGGCTAGCCCCATCCTACACAGGCAACGTCAAACCGTGACGCCACCTGACATGCCAGCTTGGCAGCTGAGCAGAGCAGTAGTCAAAACACGAAGAAAATAATGTGTGTGAATGTTGATTATGTGGTGTGTATCTAAAAACATACAGGACATTCAGGGACATGTCCGAACAGTAA